AAGGCTGGTACGCACCGGGAGAAGCAAAACACCGCTTGGAACGCGCCTGGAGGGCCCCACACGCGCTCACACGCGCCTGGGGCATGCTGCAGGTGAAGACACGCGCCCCCACTCGCTGGCACGCGCCTGGGGCGCGTGGGACTCGCCCCCACGCGCTGGCACGCGCGTGGGGCGCGTGGGACGCACCTCCATGCGCGTGGAGGGAAGGTGGATTTGGCTGGCGCGTGAGACCCACGCGCCAGCATGTCATCAACGCCTCCAGCTCCTGGCGCGTGCTTTTCACGCGCCAGGCTCACCACCATCGACCTGCACTTGATTCTAGCCTCCTCCGACGTCTCTTCTCGCCGCCGGTGATGCTCCGGCCACCGGAAAAACGCCGAAAAATCCAGAAAAATTAATAAAAATTTCCAAAAATTAAATTAGGCCTTAAAAAATTCCAGAAAAATTCTGAAAAATTGCTAAAAAATCCCAGAAAATTTCTGAAGCCTAATTTAACCCTTTTGGACCTTCTTGAAGCTTCATAGCATCCTTTGATGAAGATTACATGGCTTTAAATAAATTTACAATTTGAAATACAATGGAAAAAATTAAATTACATCATTGAACTTTCAAACGGCTAAATCAAAGCCTTAATTACATTCATCCAAAGATAAAATTACATTAATTTAACCTATAAGCTTCATCCATGGCCCAACCATACATCATCATTCATTCACAATTATTCATACATTATCATGTATCAATATATATCAACATATTAAATCATACATCAACATACATCAATAAAAATATATATGAATATAATTTTGGATCCATGAATGATGATTTTCATAAAATCATGATCTCTAGTAATGAATCAAACCATGCTCTGATACCACTGTTGGGAAACGTGCTAGTTTTAAAAACTTTTCGAGGGATTTAAATTCATAGATCTTGATTCATTACATAGAGACAAGTTTCATGCAAAAATAAAACATGATGTATCATTCAATTAAAAGATTGAATACTTACATCAAGGTTTGAGTAAACCTTAGATCTCTCCTCTAAAGTGAATGTTCTCACTTATTGTAGATCCCTTAGCAAGATGCATTCTCCTTGGATCTCCATCTTCTTGGTAATTGTTTTGCCTTTAGGAATCACTCATATGCCTCCATGAATGACCTTGGAAAATTAGGCTTGTGGGAGCCTCCATTAGATGAGTACATAAACCCTAATTTTCTAGAGAGAGAAAAGTTATTCCTATTTTCTTCTCATCAAAATCACCCCTAAAATATACATAGACCATGTATATTTATAGGCAACATAAAGGTAAAGAAAAGGAAACAACTAATCCTTCTCAATCTCTAATTCACATGTCTCAAATCTAATATGATTCCAATATCAAGTTGGGCTATGAGTGAGAATCCATTGGGCCTATTATTTTATTGGCTACAATGAATTAATGATTGGCCCGGTCCATGGACCCAATTAAATTAATTCATAAATTAATTTCTACTCCACTAAAAGAAATTAATTGAACTCCAATTAAATAATAAATAACCTCTAAGTCAATGTTGCACTTTGACCCCTCTATGCATAATTAGTTATCGGATAAATAATGCCATCAATCCGACTACTTAATTAATATATTTATTTTGGTACCTTTGATTATTTCTGGCTCGATCACAATAAAACATTTGTTCGACAAAAATAATAATTTAATAAATAAATATATAATAAATCATTTTTGTCTAAAATCATACGAAGGCCTTCGAATTTACTTTGTGATCAACCATAATCAATACAAAATAAATACAAGTAGCAATGATGCAAATATTGAAAATATAACCCTCTAACTATTAATTACATAACTACCCGAAGTGTCGGTCTAAGGATCCCGAAGAATCCGCCGAACAAATCAAAGTAATTATTAATTAATAAAAGAGTCTATACTTTTCTCATGCTTAAGAGTCAAATGCCATGACGGTGATAGGGAGTAATTGCATACGACGGCTCTCGCAATATATCTCAACCTAACGCGGACCCAGTTCAAGTCTTAATTAATTATGAGTCCATCCATAATTACCGACTATGAACAATTTATAATTACTATTTATATATCATGCATTGATTGCCATCACATACATATACATAAATATTTCTTGTAATTACATGGACACTATCAATTTCATAGTGAATCGAAATATAATACATTGAATTCACCAATTGTATAAAACATAAATATTTCAGAAACGTCACGAATATATGTCAATTAATCCAAACAGGAATTTGCTATGCCAGGGCATATAAATCCCAACAGGTTTTCCCTTGACTTCGGTTCATTTTACTAATTTCATATATATATATATATATATATATATATATATATATAGAAATAAGTTATGATTTATGTTAGAAATGTGTTCTTACTCTATATGTAATTTAGTTATGATAATAGTTATGAAATCATTATGATGAGACATGTACTTGGTTTTTCCTTGAATGAAATAAGTTGTGATATTTGTTACAAATATGTTCCTACACTATATAAAGTTTAATTGTGATGGTAACTATTAATTATGAAATCGTTATGGTGTTATTCTAAACACGTGCATATTTTTTTCTTTGACTTCAATTAATTTTATGAATCTCAAATACATTAAATGAAATGAGTTGTGATTTATATTATTAATATGTTCATACACTAATTAAATTTTAGGTGTGATGGTAGTTATGAAATTGCTATGATCCAATTATTTGTTTAGCAAAAATTAACCTTTTCTTTGGTAGGTAAAGACACATGTTCTAAATGACTTCTTTTTTTTTTTTTTTTTTTTTTTTTTTTTTTTTTTTTTTTTAATTAGGAGTTTTGTCTTGATTTGTATTCTTCATTGATCAGGAGTTGACTATAACTACACCTATGTCCATGTTGAGGATAATGCTGACAAAGATTAACACAAGTTTAGATGATAAGAAAAAAAAAAAAATGGTAGCATAAAATATAATTGAAGTTGTGTAATAGAGCATAGTAACAAATCTGAGTTTGTGCAACTATGTGACTTGTCAAGATAAGTCTTCATAGAGTTGAATTGAACCAAAATTTTATTTAGGCAAAGGGTATTACATCTAAAATTAATTTTATTAATGTGAAATGTGCTACATAACAACATTTTCCTAAAAAAAAAAAATGAAAGAATGATTAAGAACAAACACATATCTTAATAAATATTTCACCGCCGAGTTCAGTAAACTTACTATATTCTTATAACTAATTCCATGAAAATAAAAATAAAAAATCACTTTACACCTTGAACTTTATTCATCGGAAAACAAATTGGATCAAATTGTATTTGACCTAAATTGATTTTTAGGCATTGAGTATACTTTCAGTGGCCTCCTTGAGCTCTGAACCGGTGTTGAACTCAGCAAGATCATGATAATAATCGCTAGGGAAAGACTATGGAGTCCCAGCAAAGCCGAAGGATGATACCCTAGCGTTAATCCACCAGTCCGTCGCCGCCGAGATCTTTTCCATGAACTCCAACATCCCTTCATAGGCCACTTGCCATCTTCGCCACGTACACGTTCTCTTTACCATGCCGAAGGTGTGACCGCCATGGATGGACCAGTCTGCGTGAGGGGTTTGAGAATAGGTTTTGATGTTTGATTTTGAAAAGATAAATTTGAGAGGGAGAAAAAAAAGGAAGATAAATGGGAGGGTGAGAAAATTGTATTGTACAAGTTTATTTGTATATGATATTTGTGTATATAGTTAAAATTAATGTAACTCAGTAAGTTTTTTAATTTCTGACTGACTAGGCAATGACTAAATTGTGATATGACAAAACATGAATAAGTGGCACTATCAAATCCGCACTAAATCTACTCAAGTGAAAGGTGCATCAGAGCATATTCGCGTTCAAAATGAAAGTCAAACAAAGTTGCCCGGTCATCACGTGGGATCCGCAAAGAACCAAAAAAATCAACTTTCCTTCCTCGTTTCGGCAGTTCTCTCATCTTCATATTTTCCTTAGCTTTCCTTACTCCACCGACAAACAAGGCACTAAAAGAATGCTATATACACATATGACTTGCTCAAAAGCAATACAAAAAGCTAATCATTACCGTTGAACCAAAAATTCAACTGGCCAGCCACCATCACAATTCTCCTTTTTCATTTCATTTCATTTCATTTCGGCAGCCCACTTTTGCCATCTCCATCAGATATATATATATATAACAAAAATCAAATAAACAGTCTCCAATTAATCAATCTCCAAGTGATAAGTCACCAATCATAATTAGTCAAATTAATTGTAATAACTAAAAATGTAGAAATAAATATAACTTAAAAATATTCGGGTTGTAACAGTTTCTCTTTCAGGCCACTTTCATAGTTTTATTAGTACTTGGAAAATGAGTTTGTGGTTTGTTTTTGTTAATAGACTATTAAACATGTACTTTGGTGTAGAGTAAAATCACCAATGTTTGATGTTAATAAAGATGATCTACATTTCAATTATTCAATTTATTAAATAATATAAATTGTTTGGGATGTTCCATATATTTTAAGTTTGTTTTAATTTATAATTGATTTAACTTACTGCATAAACTAATTAAAATTATTGTGTTTATTTGACCGTATTATAATGATTAAGAATAACTTAGACACAAGTTATTCATTTGGCATTTCTTTTCCTAATCACAATTTTATTTGAAGTTGGACCTGGTTACAATTTTCTGAAACTAAAGTCCATGTTTTTGTAATATGGCTGATGCCAGTGGTTTGTAATTTGGGTCCAACATTATTACTTTTATATGTATGTAATTTTTCTAGAGGTACACTGTATCTTGAAATAGTGAGGAAATTCCCTTGATGTAGGAAATTTCTATGATGTTTCCTAATCTGTGAGTGCTTGGAAAAAGATGCCTCTTTAGCCGAAAGATATTGTCCTGTTAACTTGACTGGGAAAGTTAATTTGCGTGTCCTGTTGACTTGACTGGGAAAGTTCATTTGCGTGTATGGGTTGTGTTGAGCCTATCATTTTCCAATTCCAGATAGAGAATTTGCAGATCCATTACCCAAACGTCATCGATCGAGAGAGATTTATAAATTGGGTGTTTGAATGTGTCAATTTGCAGATCCAAAGGCCAAACACTGAAGTGTGCTAGAGAGATTTGAGTTTGGTATCACAGGGGGTTGGTAATACTCGTACAAGATTTATTCCATAATATTTTTTCTTATCGATCGGGCAGAAAACAAAGATGACGATTATATCTGAAATGGACGGTGAGGCTGCAGATCCAAGTATTTGAAAAAATTCTCTCTCCCCATTGAGTTGCTTTAGGTGATAAATATGGACCACAAAATGGCGGTTGATATTGTCAGGTTCACAGTGTCTTCATTTGTTTTAATTACGTGCCTGTTGAAGCTTACAACAAATTATGCAGAAGGATTTAAGGAGCACTCACGAGCTCAGTACTATATTTTTATCATCGGCATTTACATTTGGGAGGCCATTCTTGTTATAATACCTTCTACTAGAATCTTCCCAAGAATACGAAGGCACCTCACAGCTGAAATGGAGTCTGATGCTTCAGCCACGTCCGTTCCTGTTCCAGGAGGCGAATACGAAGTGTTTTTGAGTTTTAGAGGGCCAGACACTCGCCGCACGTTCACAGATTTTCTATATACCAATCTCAATGACGCAGGTGTTCGCACCTTTCGGGATGACAATGAGCTTCGCAAAGGAGAAGAGATCGGCCCTGAGCTCCTCGAAGCAATCAAGGAGTCCAGTATCTCCATCCCCATCTTCTCCAACAACTATGCTTCCAGTAAATGGTGCCTCCGCGAGCTGGCTCAGATGGTGGATTGCAAGAGAAGCACTGGACAATTGATTCTGCCGATCTTCTATGATGTTGAACCATCGGATGTGAGGCATCAATCTGGGAGTTACGAGGAAGCCTTTCGCAAGCACGAGAGGTGTTTTGATGAATGCACTGTTATGAAATGGAAAGAGGCACTCAAACAGGTTGGAGAACTCAAGGGTTGGCATGTCAACAAAGAAGCTGATGGGTATGTTAATCCCTTCCTGCTAATAACCCCATTACGCTAAATTCTTTGCATATATATATATATATAGAGAGAGAGAGAGAGGAACTTTATAATAGCATTGGAATCCAATAAAAACTACCAAATTAGAAGGACAAACACAAATTATAAGAGGAAAAACAGCATGATAAATGTTGGTTTCATGAGTCATCGTCCCTATGGTAGAACACATCAATCATTATTTTAGCTGATTGTTTACGTCTCGGTCACTAATTATTATTTTTCATTTTCTTCTTGACATTAATCAGGCATGGGGAATTAGTAAAAACGATTGTTCAAACAGTGTTGTTGAACCTGAAGAAAAAATGCATGGTTACATTTGACAACTTAGTTATGATGGATGATCATCTGAATGAAATGATGAGATTATTAAATGTTGGTTCAAATGATGTAAGGATTGTTGGTATCCTTGGCATGGGTGGTATTGGCAAGACAACTATTGCCAAGTCCATCTACAACAAGCTCCTCCATGACTTTAAAAATTGTTGTAGCTTCCTTGCAGATGTTCGGGAAAATGTCAAACAATACAAAGATAAAGGTATTGTTGATTTGCAGAATCAGCTTCTCAACGACACTCTTAAGCCGCACCCTCCCATTACTAGTGTTGAGGATGGAAAGAACGCTATCAAAAGTCGATTTCCCAATAAGAAAGTTTTCATTGTTCTTGACGATGTGGATGAAAAGTCTCAATTTGATTGGCTTGTGGGAAATCGTGATTGGTTTGGTCCGGGAACTAGGATCATAGTTACAACTAGAAACAAGCATGTTTTAAATGTTCTTGAAGTGGATGAGACTTACGAACCTCCATTTATGAACCCAGACCAATCTCTTCAACTTCTCAGCATTCATGCTTTTCGGAAAAAGTTTCCTCCAATGGACTTTGTTAGTATCTCTAGAGAGGTGGTATCAGTTACTGCAGGGCTTCCTCTAGCTCTTGAGGTTATAGGTTCATTTCTATCTGACAAGCCAAAAACAGTATGGGAAGATACATCCAAGAAGTTGAAGAAAATACCAAATCATAAAGTTCAGGAAAAATTGAGAGTAAGTTATGATGTATTAACCCATGAGCAAAAACAGATATTTCTTGATATTGCATGTCTTTTTATTGGGATTGATAAAACATATCCATGTTACATGTGGGATGATTGCGGTTATTTTCCGGAGACAGAAATTAATGTCCTTTGTCTCATGTCTCTAGTAAAACTTGAAAATGATAATGTATTGAGAATGCATGATCAACTAAGAGATCTTGGTAGGGAAATCATCCGTCAAGAATATTTTGAGAATCCGGAATTGCGCAGCAGGTTGTGGGATCGACAAGAAGCCTCGGCTGTATTTGAGGAATGCATGGTAAAAATTTACAGCGCTAAATTTTTTGCATTGATTAATGTTTTCTTAAGTCTCTTTCATGTCATCTCATAATACACATGCTCTAAATAATATTCATGGTAGCATCCACATAGGTTCCAATTATGGAGCTAAGTTGTTGACCAACCTGAATTTGCCAGCATCATCTATGATGGGCTTGGGCAGCTGTCAGCTCGGATTTAAATTGGCAACGGAACTCAATTTAAGTTATTTAGAGTTGTGAGGTGAGTATTTATCTAATAAAAATTAAAAAAAAAAAAATCAAAAGTTTTAACTCATCTCATCCAACCGAAACCATCATTTTCTTTTTTGGGGGTTAAGAAAAGAATTTTAGATGTTCTTGTTACTAGCTAGTACATTACAACGGAAAGTAGGCATGTTGTACATTTAGATTGGTGTAGCATTTGTAATTAAGTTGTAGGCTACAATGTTATGCACGATCTTTCAATTACTTCAAGTTATTTAGAGTTGTTATAAATGAAAAAAGAATAAAAATAAAAAAATGAAGAAGAATTTGGAGAAGAAGAAAAAGAAAAAAAGGGAGTTCTGAATGTTTGAATCAACCAACTTGAATCTAACCCGATCTTAACTCAAAAAAATGACCTCTTTTTTTTTTTTTTCCCCCCCAAGATTAAAATAACTAAACTTTAATTGCTTCATTTTTAATTTTTTTTTTTGATATATAAAAGCAAAAATTATCTGTAAACACAAATAACTGTTGTTTTTGAGAAGTCATAAAAAATCGGTATTTTTTTTTAAAAAAAAATAAGAATAATAATTGATACCTAATATTAATAATTCCCTTTTTAGCACGAGACAAATCGTTTCTTTTATTTGTTTACGTATTTTTATGGGTTTTTTTTCATTGACAGGTAACTGAAAAGGTCCAACTCCTAAATCTTAATGTTTTTCGAAAGACGTGTGAGCATGACAAATTCGCGGAACGATCTCAACTGCGGTATCTCCAAATAGATGCAGCTGAACTTCTTGTTGGGGATTTCAAGCATCGCTTGTTAAACTTAAGATGGCTTCGGTGGCGAAATTCCCCTCTGCATTTTGAAGCAACCAATTTTCATATGAAGAAACTAGTCATACTTGATCTAAGTAGTAGTACGATCCCATATAATTGGAAGGGTTGGAGTCAAATTAAGGTATATACTACATATATTTTAAAATCTCTACTCTCATAATCTCAATTCATTTCTCGTCTCCCATTACATTACATACATACATATATACATATTGGAGCATGTATGATTGTTTCTATATTTTTATGTGTCTTGTAAACAGATGGCAAGTAACTTGAAAGTGCTCGACATTTCATGGACTAAAATGTGGGAGCTACCTGATGAAATTAGGATGTTAAAGAAGCTCGAAATTATAAATGCACGTTGTTCTCGATTGACAGGTAACATTCCAAGTTGCATTGGGAGATTATGATGTTTGAGATACTTAAGCAGCTTTTGTTCTACAGGAATTCGAAGCCTACCAACAAGCATTCATACCCTTGACTTAAGAGGATGCAATTATCTCCAAGCACTGCCAGAGCTTCCCTCAAGTTTACAAGTTCTGTGTGTAGAGTTGTGGAGTTTTGATGTTACCCCTAATCTTGCAAATCTGGTTAATCTGCAAGTCTTGCGGTGTTACAAGATTCCTGACGAGATGAATCAGATAATTTTCAGTGATATTGTTAAATTATCCAAATTGCAGAGGTTGGACTTTGGAAGTAGCAGCATTATGACCCTACCAAAAGAGATTGATGCCCTTTCTCAGCTCAAATTCCTCAATCTAGAATCAATCAGTAAACTTCAATGTATATTGGGTTTACCTCCCAATCTGGTTGAATTATATATTGTTGGTGGTCGCTCATTGGAAATACTACCAGATCTGTCAAATTTGAAGTTCTTGTCGAAATTGCGACTTTATGAGTGCTGGGAGCTGAGAAAGATTCAAGGGCTTCGGAAACTACAATCATTGACGAGTTTGAAAATAGATAAATGCATTAAACTGACAGAGATTGAAGGACTTGGAAATCTAGAATTGCTGGAAAGTTTGACAATATGTAAGTGCAATAAGCTGAGAGAGATTCAAGGGCTTGGGAAACTACAATCATTGACGAGTTTGACAATAGATAAATGCATTGAACTGACAGAGATTGAAGGACTTGAAAATCTAGAATTGCTGGAAAGTTTGACAATATGTGAGTGCAATAAGCTGACAGAGATTCAAGGACTTGGAAATCTAGTATCGCTGGCAAGTTTTCATATGCATGACTGCTTTAGCATAGTCGAACTTGATCTGCTCAAATGTTTGGCACCTCTAGCATCCTCGGAGATGAGTGGGTACAAACACCCTGAAAATAAACCAGATTGGTCCAACTTAAACAAGGTAAAAAAATTTCGAGTTGCTGGATGCCAGAATCTTAATAAGATCGAAGGACTACATACATTGGTATCATTGGAATATTTGCATCTGTCGACTTGCTCAGTAACAATGCTGAATCTATCAAACTTGAAAATGTTGAGACACTTGGAGCTCATTGAATGCACGAGCTTACGTGAGATTGAGGGCCTTGGGGCTTTGGAAGCCTTGGAGGAACTGAGCATCAATTGGTGCTCTAAAATAGCGGAACTTGATCTGCTCGAATATTCTCAATGCAACTTAAACAAGTTAAAAAAAATTGAAGTTGCTTGTTGCAAGAATCTCAATAAGATCGAAGGACTACATATATTGGTATCATTGGAATATTTGACTCTGTCGTATAACTCATCCATGGTAAGAATGCCGAATCTATCAAACTTGAAAATGTTGACACACTTGCTGCTCCGTCAGTGCAAGAGGTTACTTGAGATTGAGGGCCTTGAGGCTTTGGAAGCCTTGGAGGAACTGGACATCAGGGGGTGCTTATCGCTGGAAAAAGTACCGCATCCGCCAAACACACACACTAGGATTTTTGATCATAATGTTTTAGATTGTAAAGATTGGGAAGATTGTGAAGATTGTGCAGATTTTTATGCAGATTATGAAGATTCTGATGTTTGTATGCAGTACCATGTTTTTGTTGGGATTTATATGCCCTGGCATAGCAAATTCCTGTTTGGATTAATTGACATATGTTCCTGACGTTTCTGAAATATTTATGTTTTATACAATTCGTGAATTCAATGTATTATATTTCGATTCACCATGAAATTGATAGTGTCCATGTAATTACAAGAAATATTTATGTATATGTATGTGATGGCAATCAATGCATGATATATAAATAGTAATTATAAATTGTTCATAGTCGGTAATTATGGATGGACTCATAATTAATTAAGACTTGAACTGGATCCGCGTTAGGTTGAGATATATTGCGAGAGCCGTCGTATGCAATTACTCCCTATCACCGTCATGGCATTTGACTCTTAAGTATGAGAAAAGTATAAACTCTTTTATTAATTAATAATTACTTTGATTTGTTCGGCGGATTCTTCGGGATCCTTAGACCGACACTTCGGGTAGTTATGTAATTAATAGTTAGAGGGTTATATTTTCAATATTTGCATCATTGCTACTTGTATTTATTTTGTATTGATTATGGTTGATCACAAAGTAAATTCGAAGGCCTTCGTATGATTTTAGACAAAATGATTTATTATATATTTATTTATTAAATTATTATTTTTGTCAAACAAATGTTTTATTGTGATCGAGCCAGAAATAATCAAAGGTACCAAAATAAATATATTAATTAAGTAGTCGGATTGATGGCATTATTTATCCGATAACTAATTATGCATAGAGGGGTCAAAGTGCAACATTGACTTAGAGGTTATTTATTATTTGGAGTTCAATTAATTTCTTTTAGTGGAGTAGAAATTAATTTATGAATTAATTTAATTGGGTCCATGGACCGGGCCAATCATTAATTCATTGTAGCCAATAAAATAATAGGCCCAATGGATTCTCACTCATAGCCCAACTTGATATTGGAATCATATTAGATTTGAGACATGTGAATTAGAGATTGAGAAGGATTAGTTGTTTCATTTTCTTTACCTTTATGTGCCTATAAATATACATGGTCTATGTATATTTTAGGTGTGATTTTTATGAGAAGGAAAAAGGAATAAATTTTCTCTCTCTAGAAAATTAGGGTTTATGTTCTCATCTAATGGAGGCTCCCACAAGCATAGTTTTCCAAGGTAATTCATGGAGGCTTATGAGTGATTCCTAAAGGCAAAATAATTACCAAGAAGATGGAGATCTAAGGAGAAGGCATCTTGCTAAGGAATCTACAATAAGTGAGAACATTCACTTTAGAGGAAAGTTTTAAAGGTTTACTCAGACCTTTGATGTAAGTATTCAATCCATTAATTGAATGATACATCATATTTTTATTTTTGCATAAAACTTGTCTCTATGTGATGAATCAAGATCTATGAATCAAAATCCCTCGAAAAGTTTTTAAAACTTACACGTTTCCCAACAATTTTTCCATCATTGTGTCATTCCTTTCCTTGATTACTTGCTCATTATCTTTCCTTTTTATTTATCAATTCAGGTTCAGATTGGAAACTTGGTAGAATAATCAAACATCGGTGAAGAGCATAGTATCAAAAGAATACTCCTAGTAAGAAAGAGTAAATGCTCTCTCATGAGTGAACAATCAATAATATTAGGCCTCTGGAAGATCCCGCTATGAGGTCCGGAAACAATGCATAGAGGTAAGTGAATTTGTCGTATTGCTCATTATCTTTTCTTCTTATTCTAGCTGAGCTATTGTGAGCTGTTTGTATCTTATCCTCTTCTCCTCATTGTTTTCAGTACTCTATTGGTCTGTCCCTGTTCATATATACAATGGCTTTGCTTCCATAGAGGTGAGAGAAGTGAGCTTCTTTCTTGTATTGCAGATCAGAAATTAACGGAGTCTAAAGCGGGTTTAATTACTAATTTGCACTCATCATCCATGTTCCTTTTTTGCTCAACTTAAATCTTATTTGTAACTTCACTTTTATCATACTTATCTCCAGACAAGTGAGGTGAGGACGGACAAAAAGAGGTATAAGGTGAATCCACAAGCATTATGAAAGAAATGGTAGCTTACATTATGGAACAAAGGGATGGCTACAAGCTTGTCAAAAGGGTTGTGAAGAATAATTTTTAGATGTTTGTGATCAGTTTTACAAAATAAATAAATAAATAAGTATTGTGGTTAGACAGAAAGGTTTGATGCATCACTTTTTGATTAATTAAATTCGTACATTTGCCTCATGTTCTTTCCATTCATTAAAGCAAAAGTTTGTGAAGAGTATATATTGAATCCAATACATCGTATCACGACATCTAATCTTGCCATGCACATGGCTTTTTAGCTCATTCATTCACTCTATATCTATCTTGTATTTAAAGAGCCCACTTTCAACGACGATGTATTACCATAGTCACTATAAACAATCCATAAAGAGAATACCAATAAAGAATATATTTTATTTCCAAACTTTTCCACAAGACAGCAATGACAGAGAGGGAGTGAGGTGGTAAGTGGAACCTGTATGGGGTCACTACTTTATAATTGATACTAATGGGATTACAAATTCTATTAAAAAAGAAGAAGAAGAGGACCCATTTACTTGATAATGCCAATTTGATTACAAATTTTATCAATGGTATCATCCTACGAATTATAAATTATAGAGAAAAAAAAATATTTTAAAAAAATATAAATGACATTAAAATAGATCGGAGGGGTGAGTTTGGATGGCCTATCAAACGGCATTGATGACAGTGTTAATTGTCACATGAACGATATTATTTTTAAATATTTTATTATTTTTATTATTATGATATGTGACAATATATACATCATAAATTGAATAGAGTTAAAACTTGTCATTAAATGATGAATTTAACTAAGGATAACTTAGAGGATCCTAGTATAACAAGGGTGTTTCTTGCACTTTATCTCTAAAAACAAATTATAAATCAATAAATAATATTAATACTATTTTCCTAAAAACAGAATGATTTGCTTAAAAATAACTAACTATAAAGAAAATAAAAAAGAGAGTAATGTAAATCCCTGCTAAACAGCAGTGTGAAACTCAGAAAAATGTTATTCATAACAGCAGTGATAATTGCCAATTTGATTACACACTATCATACCTTTCTAGTGGATAGACGCAGGTAATGCCGATGCTTGGGGCTGAGATAAAGCCCTTGAAACAGGCACCATGCATATGATAAAATGAAATTAACATGGCGAGCCTTGCATTACTTAACAAGGCAACCGACAAGTCTTACCGTAACACCCATCAAAGCACAAGCTCTCTGAAGAAGTCAAATAATCAACCTGGAAGCTTTTGCAAGTGGAGTTCAACCAACATGTAAAGCATGCCAACCATTACTACCTTAACGTTCTCTGTACTACTATGCGGTGAAAGCACAGAACAGGAACAAAAGTACAACTCGTATGAGTGACTGCAAAACAAAGGACCAGTAGTTCAACAACAAAATGATGCTTAAATTGTACAAATTGAAGTAAATCAATCTTAAGCATAAAAAGCAAAATGTCTACCATGGTTTTTTGAAGGGGGAAAAAAAGAGAAGAATCACTAATTGGACTATGCAATCCTTCAATTGATGCCGTTCTTCCAGAACTAATGGATGCTAGGGGAACTTCTCCTGAGCTGTATTTAGTACTGCCAGTGCCACTACCCCATACAACTACCATATAAGCTCCACATGGTGATTTTCTATGGACTAGTAATACATGATAGTGAAGCTGTTCTTAAATTCCACAAATATTACAACCATTCATGTTCTTAAATTAAAGGGAAACCCTTGAAATTGTATCTTGCCTTGACTTGCCTAGACGATTTCAGGAATCACATTTTGATACTTGCTCATAAACTTCCCCACAAACATCTTTTCAGTCATTTTGAGTGCATATATTAAGCTCAGGTCTCCCTCAATAAGATTTTTCGACATCAAAAGCTGTAGAGCAGCACACCATCCTCTTCTCCAAGCTAAATAGCAAAAGTATTTGATTTCCTGATCTTCTCCTTTGAAGCAGTCATACACAATGGTTTTAACTTGACTGCTGCAATAATGTCGACTTCTGACAAACCAAAACTAGAATAAACTCCCAATTTTTGCTCCCCGGGTGATTTGCTCATCATTGCCATTGAATGCAACGCTGACATGAATAGCAAATTTGTGGGATCAAAACCCATTTTTTCAACATCGCTGACCACCTCACTAAACCGATCACTTTTTAAAAGTAGGGACTTTGGTTTATTCATAAACCATTTTAGGACTAATGACTTGGGTATAAACCTTCTCCAACTTAAATTCAAGTATTCCATAGCACGCTTTGATTGCTTTCAAGACATCCTCATTGGTGCCAACAATACGTCTAATGACTTGAACAGCAGGTATGATTTGGTTTTCAAGGCTTCTTCCAAGGATATAAGGTACAGATGACAATAACTGTGCATTTTCTACTTCTGAAAAGCCCAAAGATTTGAAATATTCCAACAGGCTTAAAGGTTTTTTGACAAAAAAATCATTAAGCCAAAGTTGGAATATTTCAAATCTTTATTTTTTCTGCTGCTGCTGATAAAATAAAAAATAAAATTACTGAAGCACGTTCAGATCGGCAGCACCAATTGAAACACAAAAGCATCCAACACTGCCAAATGACTACACAATGTGCTGTGCTTATTCATGATAAAAGGCACCATCTTCTGGAGCTGCAAACACACAAGTGCTTATTCAACATAGATAACATACTCAACAAACAAGTGTTCATATAAAATACCAGGAAGGTGGAACTAATTCAAAAGATATTAGTAGTATCTTTATAGTCTTTCTTTATTGCCCACCTCCGTAGCTTATATTAGAAAATTAACAAAAAAATCGAATACTTCACATTAAATAATAAAATAAATTTCTGGATAAACTTTTATGTCTGTATTCAAATAAATAGATAGTTAGAAGTTATCTCTTTAAAAGAGAGAAAACTTTCTAGCTATCTCCTTAAAAGAGGGAAAGCATGGACATCCCATATTTGTCTTTGGTTTCCTTGTCAAATAGATCCTCTCCCAAATATGTGTAGATATAGGACCTGCAGAGTAGTTCACTTTCAACCTTGCTCACCACCTCACCCATAACTGCACTCACAAAGAACAACCTTTTTTGGTTAAATTCAATACTGGCCAAATGGATAGCATGTAAATTCTCACATCCCAAGGACTTCCTTGATGGAATGCTGATCTAATGATCTATAGGGATTTAAAAAGGGTATCTGATTCTGTATTTGCATAGGACTCTACAATTTCTCTATGTTGCACTCATTGAGACATCAGTATTACAGTTTTTTCAAAGTTTCAGCTGTAAAGGGACCCTAGATCACCCATGTCATGTATAAATCTCCCATTGCCTAGTAGATGAGGGTACCGGGGCTTTAATTATATACTAAGATGGCACCTAAGGAAGATAAAAATACCTACCATTGAGTTCTGATTTAGAATAAGCTCATTGTCTCACAATAGATGAAATGGGCTTTATTTATGATACAATACCGAGTCCTCTTGGCATCGCTTGTCCCCAGCTTCAGAACCAATAATAATATAAAAAATAAATAAATGAGTAAATAACTTATGAATGTCATAATTGCCTTCTTTTTAAAGCAATTTTAATAAAAAGATCTTATTAAATGAACATAACCCATAAGAAACAAATATGACAGCCACAGCCACCTACCACTTCCACCCCAACCACGGCCACCTTCTCCCACCATGGGCACCGTCCAGTGCCAATTTTCCATCATCACAACCATCTCTCTCCTCTCCCTCTTCTTCCCTCTCTCCATTCTCTCTCTCCTCTCCACCTCCTACACCCGCCACCCACAAAGTATGCTGCCTAACTCCTCCACCATCAATTATTTATTTTTTATTTTTTATTTTATTTTATTTTTTTTTCTTTCTAAACCCTTATTACACCATTTGGTTCTCTAGTCATTACTTATTTCTTTCTTTTATTTGAGGCTTGTTGTAATCCCAGTTATGTAAAAGGGTTAAATCACTTCAAGCATGACGAGGTTCCCAATTAGAGTCAATGAAACCATGTATTCAACTTACTGAACAATGAACATTATTATAAGTGCAACTAAAAACATCATTCCAGAAAAAAGGTAATAGTCCTCCACTTTTGATTGTATTCTATACTGACTGAACAACAAGAAGATAACTTTTCATGATGTTATATACATTATTAAGTACATGGGCAATTCACAACTAAAAACGTCATTCCAGAAAAAAGGTACTAGTCCTCATGCTCTGTTCTAAATGAGGTGTTGGAAGAAATTTTTTGATATAGAACTAAATTTTGACATTGTTTTGATTGTGAAGGTTATAAATCAAATTCTATACGGTTGATAGGTATTATTTAAGAGTTATTATTACTATTATTGTTGTTAATAAGAAATGAAATTTTAGCCTAGCAGGGTACCAAAAATTAAGCCTATGTTTAAGAAATCGAATTGAGAAAAATACATATACACACACATGGAAATCAAATCAACACAAAACATATGCACAGAGAGATTGGTAATTGTTACCCAGAAGAGAAGAGTATTCTGAATCCAAACGATGGAAATCTGGATCCCAAATACATATACACATGAAAATCAAATCAACACAAAACATATGTACAGAGAGATTGGTAATTGTTACGCAGAAGAGAGGAGTATTCTGGATCCAAACGATGGAAATCTGGATCCCAAATCCAAACCCATGCCGGATTTTAGAATGAAATTGAATTTTTTTTAATCAGAAAGCATATATATACAAAGATATATATGCAAATATATAGATTTCATACCTGTTGCTCTCTTCTAGAGTTTCAAAGCGACGGAGGAGTGGCTATGGTGTAGGCGAGTTGTCTATGGTTTGAGGAGAGAGTGTGTGGTGTACGAGAGAGAGAGAGAGTAGGGCAGGGCAGAGGTCGGGATCGGGATCGGGATCGGGATCGGGATGATGGGAGCTCGTAAAATGATTTACGAAGGATTGATCCGTAACTTGCTTTAGCTGGCTTTTAGGAAAAAAATTTTTGCTTTGTAGTAAAAGATTTTCCTCAATTTTGGGATAATATAAAAAATATTTACCAAACAACAGAGTGTAAATAAAATAAATTTGGACGCTTCATGATTACTTAAAGCTTTGTTTGGAATCAATTATTTGAAGGTTTGGAAAAGGAATATGAATTGGAATAGGAATCGGAATTAAAATGAAATTTTATTTACATGTTTGGAACAAATTGGATTTAAAATGAAATTTTGAATAAAAATAATACAATACCATTTTTGTCCTTATTTAAATAATAAATGAAATATTTATTTTATTGTAAAATATACTCCAAAATTATGTCAAGAAGACAAACAACAGGAATGATTAAGCTAAGGAACTATGAAACATAAAATTTATTATAAATAAAAAAAAAACAGTTATTTATTATTTTTACATAAAAAAAATAAATAAATAAAATAAAATAAAACCTAACTTATTCAACTACCATCATCAGCATACTTAACAAAGATTATTAAAAAGTAAACTAAGCATATAGAAAGCGTGCAGCCATTTTCCAAGACAGCCAAGTTTTACGCATCTCATCTGGGCATCCAAAAAATCCTTCAGCTGCAAGGGAGGGGATCCGAAATAAAAAAGTCATAAGCAAAAAAAAAGAAGGCATTATCAACTTCGTCCATCTTCTTTAATTCTAAAAATATTTCTGCACTAGAATAGAATCGACGTGTACCTTCTCATCCACAATATTAGATCTATCAAATGCATTTGCAATTTGAGTTAGTGAGTCAGAATGACCCTAATATTTTGGTTCAGCTCATCATATTTTGAAATATTTCTTTTACTTTTACTACCCTTCGAGGAAGATGCAGACGCAGAAGGCGCCAATGTAGTTCGTGACTGTCGAACACTTATACATTCAATTTCCTCTAAATTCTCTAGATTGATCTCATTTCTTGCAACCATTTCATCTATTTCGTCAATACTTGTGTCTTTTCCTCGCATTGCCATGCTCGCGTCTCTTCCTTCTGTTGCCCAACGACGATTTTTCTCTTTTGAAGTTTCAGCTCCTGATCCAGTAGCTCTATCTTTTTCAAAAATTTCACGTAGAATATTAAACAAAGGAAATGAGACATTTCTGACTTGGCGTGCAGCCGAATAACTCTGTTAAAGTAGGAAACATTCAAAATTTTAACTTTATGATATAAAGAAAACAAAAGATAATATTTTATCAACATTTTCATACCTTAATTAAGGCATCCCATACGGGTATTTCAGCATTTATTGTTTTAGTACTATCATTCCAAGCAAAGCCACTACCGCGCTTCAAAACTTCCAAAGCAATATCCATTTTTCTTTTCAAAGTCTTTAATTGATTTTGAATATTGTCTTTATTTACCTTTGTAGTGAAATGCAAGTTAATTGCTTCAATTGCAACGTTATATGTTGCAGGGTTAAAATTTCTATTAGGTTTCTGTGCTTGTGTTTTTTGGTCAAGCAAAATGTTAAGTAAAAATTCATCCATTTGTTGTGTCCACACAATATATCCCAATGCATTCGTTTTGTCATCACAATCACTCGTATCCATTGTTTAAGTTGTAAAGCAACATTCACAAAAGTAAATTATATGTATTTAAAAAGTATATATTATCAATTTGAAATAAGACTTATAATAAAATCAATAAAACAAATAAGGTAAGTAGTAAACAATTTCTTAAATAACAATAATAATAAAAAGAAGTTTCACATTATAAAAGAAATGAAAATTTACTTTCAAATACATCAAATTTCCTTAGAATTATTGATTAGCCACATAATCAGTCCACATGTTTCCCGCTATGAGATCTCTTCGCATTGATCCTTGTCTACCCTCTTCACTCACGTCAATCCTTGGCATTTCTTGTGGATGTTCAACCTCACAATTCATAAGATCTTCATCAACTTCTGCCATTAATCTTTTATCTGGCTCTACTCCTAATAGAAAATTGTGTAAAATACAACAGACTAATGTAATTTTAGTCTATGTCTCGAAATTTTATTGTGATTCAGTTCCATTCGCCAAAATAGGAAATCTTTTTTTTAACACACCAAACGCCCTTTCAATTGCATTACATAAAGAAGCATGTTTGTGATTAAATATCTCTTTTGAATTTCTGGGACCATTTGTTGAATACTCTTTTAAATGGTAACGCGTCCCTCGATAAGGAGTAATAAATCCATATTTTAGAGCAAATCTAGCGTCACCGAGATAAAATTTACCTAAAAACATGTAAAGTGGATTAGTTTTTATTTGCTTATACTTATGATATAATTATGATAATATTAAATTTAAATACCTTCAGGCACATTTAAATTATCTTCTCTATTTAACGCACTCTGTAGAATCTTTGAGTCAACTGCTGATCCTTCCCATCCAGGCAAAACATATGTAAAGTTTAAATGAAAAGTGCATGCTGCTAAGACATTTTGTGTAGGAAAATCTTTTCGTCCTCTAAATCGTGTAACTTCTTCTTTTGGAACTTTTACACGAATGTGTGTTCCATCAATAGCTCCAACACAATCCTATCAAATTAATAAATATAGTTTAGTAATTGTTATAAAATGGTTGTACAAAATTATAACTAAAAATTACCTTAAAGTAGGGATAGAATCTGCTATTATTTACTATTTCTGGTGGTGTTGTAGTTCCGTTAGGTTGTATGATAAACTGATCTTCAAGTGAAATAATCACCCTCGTAACATCGTGAAAATGACAACTAATTGTCTCAGTGGAGTGATTAAAAAAAAATCAAATTGTTCGATTTCTCACATTATGAGATAGAATATGCAAAAACTTTGCAACTTGTTCCTCTACGCAGCTATATGCATTATCTTTGAGACGACCACTTCCCCGAAGTATTCCAACAAGCTTAGCAAAAGTATTCGGCCCCATACGTAAAATGTCATGAGTTCTATCACTATTAATAATGTCCTTCATTAATTTTTTTCTAACTTCTTCTCTCTCACCAGCATTTTCTGAAACCGATCTACATATATAGCCAGACTGTTGATAAGCTGATAATAATGTGACTAAATGTGCCACGCAAACAACTACTACTCCAATGGCCTTTTGTCTTTTCCTTTCAAATTCTTGTCTGATATCATCTACATTTGATATTTAAAATTATCAGTATATATCATGATTAATAATGAAACCCTAGCACTAGTTTGCAAAGTAAATGATTACAACTTTTTCATTTTCAAATTGTTGGATATATTGGATGAGTATATTTCTAATATAAAATGACTGTTGTATTTTTCTTTCACTGTTAACTTATATATAATTAATTCATTTATTAAATACTAACTACTAATGTGTATACTAATTGTTAAAGATAATATTGGCAATATTGGCTTATATATATAAAACTTATCAAGGTTATAAAAGTGTAGTATTTATTTATTCAATCACAATAAATACATTTTGTTGCACATAAATGCTGTGAATTCTGAAGAATTGCATGATATGACTCTTTGTTTTAATTTTTAAGTACACAAGTACACAAAATACAAAAGTGGTGGTGGATACTAAAGTATTGGATTCTATGATTTTTGGTTATAAAATTCTGCTCCATTCACGTAAAAGTTTGAAGTACAAATATACAAATGTAAATTTTTCAAACTACAATAATACAAAAGTGGTGGTAGATCAATCTGTTAAATGCAGTTTAAGATATTGGAGTATACCAAACAAAATGGTGTGAATTATGGAGGATTGGAATATGATTTTTATTATACAATTCTGTATTATAGATTTTTCAAATACAAGAATACAAAAGCGGTGGTGGATTAATCTGTTAAACACAAACTTTTGGTAATTTTGAGAAATCGATATCTTACTCCATAATTTGAGGATAAATTTTTAAGTACACAAAATACAAAAGTGGTGGTGGATACTAAAGTATTGGATTCCATGACTTTTGGTTATATTGGTTATACAATTCTGTATTATAGATTTTTCAAGGGTTAATTATAACGACGCCCCCTGAGGTTTGTCATATTGACAGTCGTATACATCTTAGCCTTTTTTCGAACAAAGACACTCCCTAAAGTTACAAACTTGAACAATGACACCCAATTTAAAAAAAGCAGAGCCAAACACAACCTTAAGTTACGTGAAATGTCTAATATGCCATAAGAATATTTTAATCTCACCTAAAATGACCAAACTATCCTCTCCTCTTATAATCTCATCTCATCTCTCTCTCTCTCACACACACACACAAACTGCTCAATCGCCCTCATCTTCTTCCACATCCTCAAACCCCCAATCCGTATCAAAACCAAATTGCCGGTTTGGCCCTTTCTGCAGAGGAAAACAACAGTAAGTGAGAGGGAGAGACCCACCAAGTGTGATAATTTGATTGGATAATGAGGGTCTCTACTGCTTTGTCTTAACTCTTGACTCCCCATTTTTATCTATTATATATATATATATATAGACTATAGATATAATGTTAAGGAATAAAGGTGGAGGGAATAAAAGATTAAGGGGGAGAGAGATTTGTTGTTTGGTATTATATCAACGGCGGCGGTAGCAATGGACGGCAGAGATCGGAGAAGGTTGAGGATATCAACGGCGGCGAGGAGTGAGATCAGCGGCGGCAGCGATAGACAGCATAGATCGAAAAAGGTTGAGGATATCAACGGCGGCAAGGAGTGAGATCGGCGGCGGCAGCGATGGACAGTAGAGATCGGAGAAGGTTGAGGTGGCAGACGCTGGTGGTGTTGTCGATGCAGAGAGCAGTGGCTGAGAGGCGGAGATAGGTGAGGCGAGTTAGGAATTGGATTGACTGTGGATGGCTCAGTCGTGGAGGACTCGCGGTGGCTGGTGAGGGCTTGGCCGGTAAGGTCTTTTCCTTGCTCGCCGCGAGCTCCCTTTTTGAGGCGATCTGTGTTTTTTTTTTTTTTTTGGATGGTGTGATCTATGTGTGTTGGGTTTTTGTTGTAATGACCCTAAACTGATACCCCTTTAAAAAAAATAAAATTTGGCATAACCTCCCCTAAAAAGGGGACTACAACCACCTGCTCAAATAAAATAAAAAACGCAATGGCCCTTTCTGGCCTTTCAAAACACCTCCAACTTGTCCCAACACATAATAAAATTAATATA